TATTTTCCCTTCCTACTGCTAATTCAAGATTGCATCAACTAAAGCCTCAATTACTTAACCAGCCTTTTACCACAGTCTTACTGATTCCTACGGGCAGATTAAGTCAGATTAAGTTTCCTTAAATACTACTTTCAAAACGTTACAACTGAAAACCAGTGGTTCTTGTTATCCTTTTTAAATGCACAGCACCTTTCCCTGGCTTTCAAGATACTGAGCAGCCCATAGCTGGCATCTGAGACCTTACTGTGTGCCACACACTGTGCTGGACACATGCATCCCCTTACTCTACCCAAGCATCTTCACTGGCAGATGCTATTATTACCCAAAATTGGTGGTGAATAAAACAGACTGAGGGAGCAGAAGCAATTTTCCCTTGAACAGAAAAGGAGAACAGATCTTCCTGGGGCCAGGCTTCTAAGTGCCCAATCACTGTTTAGGCTGCCTTTTCCGAGGCCTTACAGAACCATATCTGGCCTACCTGTCCCCAAGCGATGCTGTCAGCCCTGCTCACTGACAATCAGGTGGTTTCCTTCACGCTTCATGCATGCTCTCATTTTCTCCTGTGGGCCTACATCATGTATATACCATCCTCCTCACCTGGTACCTGTGCCACTCAAACAGCTCCAGACATCCATAGAATTGTCCCCCTAATCCACAGCCCTGGAGGCAGAAAAACTGCACAAGTGCTTAACCGTTTTTCATATTTGAGGATTAAAAATTCACCTGGATAAAGTCTCTCACAGTGACCTGTATATAATTTTCTGCTCTCTTGCTCATGCCTCCAAATTGAACCAAATTCTTTCAGCTTATCTAAGGTGGCTAATTTATACCGTCAACATTAATGTCACTGATGTGGGACACTTAAATTCTGGGTAGCTATTTTCAAAGTTCTGATTCCCGATGATTCAGGTTGAAGGGGTCCCCTTATCACAACAGCACTCTGCCCTCCTCTGATGGCACAGACACAATTGGCACAGGTTGCTGCTTCAGACAGAAGGAGGTGCACTGTTTACCCACCATTCCCTCAAAGGGTGTGCATATTGTCACTGTTTGCTTACAGGGCACTGTACTCTCACCATCGTCTACACTACTCTGCAGCACTACAGAAACAAGTGTTCCACAGAACATGCTGCCCAGAGCACTTCCAGGATCAAACTTGAAAGCATCAATCTGAGAACACAGAAGACCAACTCTGCAATAATATTAAATCATGCCAGTGGGATCCACTATGATTTTCTCTTTCAGTTCACAACAAATCATAGTTTTAGGTTGCCTACCTAAATATATTGCTAGGTTAGGTGCAAAAGAAGACAGGCGCAAAATATCACATTATACAACAAGACACATAAAAACTAGTCCTATAAATGTCTGGTGCTGTTTAAAATTAGAGCTAACAGAGGAACAGAGAGCTTAGTCAAAATTCAGATGACAAACCACTTCTCCCCTACTAGCCAAGTCTTCCTCTCCATTGAAAAATAACAGGAACTACCTTCATAGCAGACAGGCTCAAGAACTTCCCTTGGACTTGGAAGAATCATAATAAACAGGCTCTCTTTATGTAAGAGGCAGTAAGGATGAAAACATGGGGCAGGCAGGAAAACTATGTTAAAGTTGCTGTATATTACTTGTTCTAAGGAAATAAAAACACAGGACAACTTGCGAATAAATGAAAGCAACCCTTTGACTGCTAATCTTTTTAACACTTAGCAGCCTCACATTTTTTGCTGATTCAAAAGTGACTTGGTCAAATCCACTCAGCTTTGAAGTCCAAGAGATTATTAAATGCTGCAAGGGAACAATATATATGGCTTCCAGAAGAATTTTTTTAAAAAATGACAATCTTAGCAAAGATAGTTAAATGTGCCAATATCAATTCAAGCTTTGACCAAAGTGAAGACAGGAAGCCTTGGTAGTCACGCTTACCATCCCTCAATGGGGGGAGGGCAGGGGAGAGACTCAACACCGCACAGGCAGAACCAGGGGTAGCAGCAGCAGCTTTCATTCCTGTTTCACATGGGCTGGGATCTCCACTTCCAGGCCTGTCCTACTGCAACTCAAACTAACAGGCTGGCTGACTTGTAGTTCATGACTTACTGATCTCCCTGATGCTGAACCGAAACCCATTCTGGATGTTTTCCAAGAATGGTTGTTTGGTACAGCACACAGTTTCCTGCTTAATATAGAACAAATAGCATACCACAAACCACTTCACTCAAATACCAAATTTATAACCAAATCATAGGGCCGAGGAAAAACTCCAGCCACCCGATCTGGTTCCTTGAGTTTTGGCAGACACTTTGCTGCCTTAACTCCTGAGCAAAAGAGCATTCATCCTGGGATTTTATTAAGTGAAATTTAACTTATACTGCAATAAGTAAAAGGCAAGGAGAATAGAGATGTTTGCATTTAAAGTTGCTACTGAATTTATGCAAGTCAGGAAACTTTCAAAAATAGTCAGGGCTACTTAGAGTGCAAATTCTCAGTCAAACTAGATAATCATAGCAAAAACTTTACTAATACCAGAAACGAAAAATAGCCAAAGTAGATATTTCTGAAATCTTCCAAAATTGTTGACAAGTGATTGAGGTTATCTGAACAACAAAAAGAAAAAAATTAAGTCTTGGTAATACACACACACACACACACACACACACGCAGCACACAGCACACAAAAGCACTACCTGCAACATGGGCATCCAACATGAGCAACAGATTGTGTCCTACCTGTTTCACTTCCAAACTGGCTCCCTGCTAATGTTCCTGAGAAAGCAGCAGAAGATGGACTAAGTACTTGGGCTCTTGACATCTACAAGAGAAACCCACATGGAGTTCCAGCTTTCTGGTTTCAGCCTGGCCCAGCCCTGACTGTCATGGTTGTTTGGGGAGTGAACTAGTAAATGAAAGATATTCATTCTCTCTGTGTTTCAAATAAATGAAATACATCTTCTATCTGTACACATTTCTGAGGGATGAAATTCAACAATCTAAGTGACTTAAACATGAACAACTTTTTAGTAGCCTTTCCCTTTGAAGAAAGCATATTTACCACCTCTCCACTTATTTCACAATTTTTATTTTATACTTATCATACAAATTTTATGATACTTATGGTTGTGACAAAATACAAGACTTATCATATTCTAAGTGTTTCTTTTCACACAACATGAGCTTCACTACAAGCTGAGCTACAAATAGCTGGGAGTGCTGACTAGGGAGCAGGAATAACAGTTTGAACTGACTTCTATTATTTGATGTCTTCTAAGGTAAAACAGAATCACCAAAAATGACCAAATTCACTGGATGTCTTGATTCTTAAAGTTTCCAAAAAGTAACAAAATTCAAGACCACAATCAAGAAGCATTAATGTAAAGGTCTCAGATACTCTGCCTTCCTAAGGGCTCACATTGTGGCTGGCACAGCATATCAAGCTGCTACCTGCAACACCAGATTCCCATACACATGTCAGTTAGAAGATCTACATATAGTAGTAATCCCTCATACAAAAATTGTCAAATGTTACTATTCTATTTCTAAGAAAACCAAAAAAAGTAGATGTGATTATATGAGGAAAAAAACAGCCCCTTCATTTCTCCTTCATAAAATGTAGTCAATTCCATTTTGCTCAAAGGACAATAGCCATGTTAGGTCTTATTTTGTGCCTTCTCGATTTTTCCTTCCTCCTAGTTCCCAACACTCACTCATTTCACTATTCATTACCACTTCTATGAGAGAACAAGTGAGATATAAGAGAAGGTGCAATTCAAACCAGTCAATTTCACTCCCTTTTAGCAGCTCTGTTTAGAAAGAGTGAATGTGAGAATAACAATTAAAAGTTAACCGGGATCCGAAGTTAAAACTAGTGTTTAAAAATTAATTCTGAGGTGGGAAGCTGACTTTGATGACACACAGATTATGGCAAAACTAATACTTGTACAGTACGTGCACATGTCGTAGGTCATGTCAAAGAATGTTGGAAAGTCTCGGGCCTCAGCATTCTTCATACAGACAGATCTCAGCCAGTGGAAGACAGCTGTCCAATCCTTGCATGGGTCCACGTGCTAACTGCTTGAACATGTAGCTGCCACTTGAGCACCTAGCTGCTTACAAAGCACCACAATCTCCCATCTTCATTCTTCCCTCTTCCTTGGGCAATCATCTCACAAACACACAGCAATGTAACTGCAGTAGTTCAAAGGGAAAATAAACGAAAGCAATACCAACAAGATGATGGGAAGAGGAAGGAGAGGAAAGTCTTTTCTAACTCAGAAAACGGACTCAGTAAGCAGAGAACTTCTTGATTGCCACTCAGCATTCAGTGGCCTCATCCACCTTGTGTGAATTAATGTTGAAAATCCAGGTCTCCAAACTCTTTCTGAAAACTAGGCAAGCTGGCCACCCTGGGACAATGCCGTCACATGGCAAGAATTAGCTGGAACATGGGAGCTTGGATGGGGTGTGAGAACTTCCACTTGCCAGAGTCCCTCTGCTGCCCAGCGGGCTGGCCTTGGCAGACAGTTCTGTTTGCCACCACTGTCATGTGATGAACTGTTCTGCCTTACGAGGCAAGCGAGGCACGGATACTGTAAACCCCAGTGTAATTGGAAGCTGTACCTTTAATCTAGATACACTTAACATTAGGCTCCATCAGCTCTGCTCATAAAAGATCTGCTTTATTTTAGTTCCCCTTCCATTTGTCTCAGGGTTACGTAACCTCACAGGAGGTCACACAAGTCTCCCAAAAAAGAAATCTGAGCTACCTTTTAAAAATAAAAAAAGAATCATGCATAACAAAGACAAACACCAAACTGAAACTGGCATTTTTTCTCTGACACGAAGCCTCACTCTCCCAGTTACTCTAAAAAAAAAAAAAATCACAATTTTTGAAAAGGAAGAAGAAACTCAGACAGAGAGGAAAGAAAAACCATGGCCTGCCCCGAGGACATATGGTATGCTATACTCCCAACATGCTGTCGAGCAGAAAAAGAGAATTAACATCTTACCATCCTCCAGCTCAAGACAAAGATTGTACACAGCCACGGGTCTCTTTGTCCTCTGGCCTTGTCTCTTTGATTGCCTCGGTGGAGCGTTTGGGGGCGATGCTGACAGGCAGATGGGCTCAGGGAATGTGGAATCGGGCGGGGTCCGAAAAATCTGCCACCAAAGCAGAAAGAACATCATGAGAAACCTGCGTGCTGCTCCACAACCCAGCAACAAACAACGTCTGACTTGGAGTTCATTCAAGATCAACCTGAGCCAAAAATCACTCATTCCTTCACGTTTGGAGAATGGGTCATAAGCTTTTCATTTCTGTTTTCAGATTATGATTTCAAATTAAAATTTCTCATGCAAATTAAGAAAAAGCCATACCAAGTCATTGTATTTCCAACATTTCATTCCAAAACTAAATGAGCATTATTACTTTTACTAGGTACAGATCATGTCACAGCTCTTCATCCCCCAAAAAAGTAGCCAGAGATAAAACATTAAGCACAAATATCCCATTAAATTTCAGAGGGGTCTATTTATGCCAAATATGCTGGTGTCAATTTTCTTTTCCAAACTACATAAACAGAAACATATGACTGCAAATATTTTCACACGTTTAAAAATAGCCTATGCTCACAAAATTACCTATCCAGATTCCCATTTACATTTTTTTTTTTCATTAAAATGCTTTGCAGATTTTATCAGCTCATAATACCCTCTGACTACCCTGGGTAAGTCCTCCTTCCCTTTGAGGAACCTGGACTAGGAGTCCTGCGTGTAACTAAAATGCCATTTAATGCCAATAATTAAAAGGTGTTTCTTCTTTGCTAACCTTTTTTCTTTTTCTATTGAAAAAGAAAAAGCCACTTGTACTATGGAAAGACAAAAGAAAAACTTCATATAGAGGTTGATTGGCCATGGCTGCCAAGCCCTCAGCTCAGAACCTGCCCTCCCAACTACTTGAGATCCTCGGCCCTGAATAAAACTATAAAATAAAATACAGTGGAGGCATCAACCCAAAACAATCTGTGTTCCTTAGGTGGAAGCCGAAGAGAGAGCCAACTAGCATCACACAAAACGCACATCTACAATGCACAAAAAAAGGCAATGCCTGTACATCTCACTATTGTAAGGAAATTATTATTTATTCACTGAAATAAAAACAGGCACCTGACCTGTGATACAACTCGGGGTATCACTTACAGAAGAGTATCACATTTAATAATCAACAATGATGTTGGCGTCTTAATTGCACAATCTAAAAGTTCTCACCTAGAAACTATTATATACCAATAAAAACAAGCAATTTCAACAGAGCATTTGCTTTATAGTACCATACTGCCCCCTCATGTGTAAATGTAATAAAAAAAAAATCTCGATGATTGAGGACAAACATTTGCAAGTGTAAGTAGCACATTTCCATAGAATCTCTGCTCCAACAGGGTAGGCTAAAAAACAGCAAACAACTTCTCTGCCTTCAAAGGCCACTGCTGCCTACACTTTTGTCCACAGCTGGATTTGCTGCCATCTGCCATTGTTCTAACTGAGGACTGTTGGCGGAGTGGTGGGACAAGCGGAACAGTTTAGCTGAGGATACTGACAGAGGAAGAGAGAAGAAAAGATGGAAAATGTGAATGCCACAGAAGGAAGATGGCACACTATGAACAGCTCCTTGCCTTAGGGCTGATTCTTACAAATATGGCAGGTATTTCCAGAATTGGAGGCCCAATTATATGCACTGCAACCAAAGCATCAACAAGCAATGGAAAACTCCTTAGTGGGGATTCAGCACCAGACAACATACCCAGCAAATGCTCCTGAAACACTGAAAATGACTTCTCTTCCGCCACAGTGGGTACTGGGTAAGGGTGTGGGGAGTGGGATGTGGAGGCAGACCACCAAGTCAACCAGGACCCACAAGTGGAACTTGAGGCTACTGATCTGAGACCTTCCCAAAACCTCAGTCCAGATCCTCAAGCTGACCCCAAATGAAACAGTTAAAGCACTGTTTAGCTCAGGTCAGCTTATCTGGCAATGGGACTGGCTCTCAAGTTGTTTGATTTGACTTATATCTAAAATCACCTCAGGCAATTCTTTTTAGCAGGGAAGGTTAGCAAACACTACTTTCCATGCCCCCTCCATAACATTTTACACCTGTATCAGATGGACGAAAGTCAAAGTCAACACATGGAACAAACTGGCAGTGGACACAAAGAAACTGATTCCTTTTCAAGTACTAAAGTTTCAGAGATTCCAAAACATGTGCACTCCTTGATAAGATCTACATTGTAGCAAGATTTCAAGGAGTTCAACTAGGTCCAGATTAGTGAAGGTAGGAAAGCATATAAACAAACCTGAAACAGTGCTACCTTGCTTCAAAGTTTTACCAGCTCTGGAACCTTTCATGTATTTCTCACAAGTTTATCTACAATTCTCACATTCATAAACAGGGTTGTGGCACTTGTATCAAGTTATTCTAGGGATTAAAAGAGATAGTGCATATAAAAACCTCAACAGAGGGCTTGGCACTTAGTAACCAGAAATAAATGGTAGCCACTTGTTTTTGCAATACAATCACATACTCATAAGGTAAATACTGATCAAAATGAATTCAGATCCCTACAACTCCGCTGACTGGCTGTTCAAGAGGGTGCTAACCTCCTGAGATCTTAAACACTCATTCAAGTCCGTGCTTTTGGTAAAGTTACTCTGAAGTGTCCTGAAAAAAGACACTAAGCAATGTGCTAAAGGAAGGTAACAAACAGAACACACTTAAAATTCTCAAGTAATCTAGACTCAGACCATCACGTGTTTGTGTCTGTACCGTGGTACTGAAATTTCAGATTTAAACGACTTTCTAGCTCATTTACCACACTGAACAGTGAACAAATGCCTGCCTAGCAGGCGACAGGCTTTCTCAAAAGCACACCAATGTTCTCAGGAACCTTTGCACTCAGTATTTCTCAGTGTTTTATAAATGAGAAAAGTTCAGAAACAGGCATTTGGAATCCTTTTTCTGTACATTCATTCACAGGGCATACAGAATTACCAACTTAAAATTAGCTTTCCATATATTTATTGATTTTGAGCCCATCAAATGATTTCATGAGCCTTATATGGCATAAGGGCTAGGCAGTCCCTACTTCTGATTTAAAAAAAAAAATGGTAGTCTTCACAATGTAAAAACAGAATCTGAGCTTTCACTTCTGATGCCAAAGCTTCCATACCACATTCTACTACCAACAAATACATTTCTGTTATCTGCTGGGAAAGAGTAAAAATGTATCTACATCAACTCACTATCATTGCCTAACACGTGTCTTCCGGTACACTAACAGCAATTCTAATACCTCTTTCCTCTGCCTCCTCATTCCATCCTGCTTTTAAGCTACAAAATTATTCTATGACGCTTCTCTCTGAAACATCAGGGGTGATCTTAAAGGATATTTCTTTTAGATGTAGAGGAAGATGAAACAGTGAAACAAATATTCTGACCTGTTTTTTGAAATTACTATCTGACCTATTGGCAAACTGATTCTAGAAATTACAATTTAGCTTCTCATGCACCACCTTGTCAAGATAAGACATTACTGATATTTCAGTTCTGCAACCACCACAAGGATGCTAATAATAGCTCCTCTTATTCCTCAGGTCTCTTTTCAAGGTCTTTCAACTTCCCCAGCCTATCTAACACTACTACATTGATATTACACAATACCTTGTCCAAATTCAGACAAACTCATCTTAAGCAATACTCAGAATCTAGTGATGAAGTCTACTCATCACTTTCTCTTCCAGGATAAAAATTTCTCCATTCCACCTACATATTTGCAACAGAAGAAAAACTCAAATCAGAGTATCCACTGACAAAAAGCACAGCTCCACACGCTGTCAGGTGAGGCAGTGCTTGCTTATTCAGGTCCCCTGAGAGTGCCAGCACAAACAGAAGTCTGGCACCACAGCTTGAAGTCACAGGTTCCTCAGACACAACAAAGCAAATGTTGATGCCCATGGGACTCAGCCATGTGCAGAAACCCGAATCCTCATACTCTGCTGCCACGGGCCACATGTAAAAGCCACTGCACTTCCTCTTCCACAACAACTTTAAAGCAACACAGTGTGAAAACTGTGCTTTAGTATTCAAATCAAACCTGTAGCATCTGTAGCATCAACCAAATTAATACAATAGCATGAGTAAAGGAATTACAGGGATGCAACACTTTTAAAGATGGTTTTAAAGAAGAGGTCATTGGCCTTCCTGGTCACAGAAAGACACCTCTATCATCCAACCAGAGTTACGCCTAACGGGTCCTTGCTTGCAGTGTGTCGGACATTACAGCAAAGGCTCAATTTCCAACCAGTAGCATGACTCTCATGTCTATCTCAGGGTCCTCCTGTTCTACTGGCTCCACAGCCACCCACTTACACGAAGCCCCATTTATCTTATATCCTCTTTGTTGATGCTTTATCACACAGGTGCACTTCGATTCATCAACAGACAGAAGTTTATTAAGAAGGCAGAAAGGAAATCAATGCATATATTTCTAGGTAAGCATCTAACATAGTAAAGAGGGATAGAAATGAATTATTCGATTTTCTTTCTAAAACAGCATGATTACAAAATGGCCAAGTATTTGTTTCAGTTTCCGGGTCCGTGGTGTTTACACAAACACTCCTGATTATAAGGTGACTAAGGTGCCTCCAAAATGACTTGAATTTCTACCCACACCTACACACACTTCAGAGGTTAGAAACCATGTGAACAGTACACAAAGAGGGATGAAAACTTCCCCAGCTGTCCTTGAATCAGCAGCACTCCATGACTAAATATGGCCCTGTTCTACAACAATGAACTACAACCGACAAATCAGACTGAAAGTGAAATACCAGTTGGGTTCAGGCTTAAGGCTGGAAATAGTCGAAGGCTTCAGTTGGTTCTGGTTCATTAAAATTCAGAACCTCAGAGCTGGAAAGGATCCTGGTTATCCCTGAGGCCAACCCCGTTATTTCACAGTTGAGCAAACTGAGGCTCCTGTGGTTAAAGATTTGCTCTTAGTCACACTCCTCGGGAGCAGACTCAGATTACACCCAAGCCAGGGCCTCCAAGCCAGCTGCTATTTTCCATCTTGCTGGCTCTCACCTTTCCCCTCCAACAGAGCATTCTT